TCTTCCCCGTCGGTTGTTGGTACTTTAAGCTATATGGCCGGCAAATTGCCACTTCCACTTACTAATTTGTACTACAAAACTGCTAAGTTACGTCAAATTAACATCCTCACAAAATGTAAAAATTGTTACTGATATAGAGCTAGTGTATAGTGAGTAGCAGAGTCGGCAATGGAGACGGAAGTTTATGGACCACATTGGTGATATATTTAGGATGAGCCAAATTAAGAGTACTCTCAACTTATGTTGTGAAAGAAGCGAGAGAGTTGTTTCAGAATCATGCCAATTAGGCCAGTATTCTTTGTGTGTCCATGTGTACTTTTACGGTTGACAGGCGTGAAAGTTTGAGGCGTCAATATATTCTTATTACAGAGATTTTTCAGTTAAAGTACTAATGAAAAAAATGCGTAGAAAGACATTGGTAGAAAATTTTTGATAAAGTACTGGCAAAAGCAGAGAAATATACTTCATTTTTGGCTACTGATAGCTTTGTTTGTACAAAGAATATATTATATTATTACTACGTACCTCAGAGGTTAGGGTTGCCACCAATTTAGGTTGTTACTAGTTGCAAGAGTCTTTAACACGCCTTTATTAACTTCGTGTGTACATTAAAATCTATCTATCTATGTATTGTAATATTTTAATGTAATTTTCACCAACTTGTATACTACCAAATTACTTGAAAATTTGCACGATACGAATCAAGGACCGATGACAAATAACTCTATGTTTAAATGACAAATAACTTAATGTTTAAAGTTTTCATAAATTTTAATATTATTTAGTGATTAAGTAGATAATAAGTAAGATGTTTTAAAATCTCATAATTATTTAAATAATAATCTTTTTACTATATGTAATATTATATATTATATATATTGTATTAGCTTATTGTTTTGAACTGTTCTTTAACAAGCTTTTATTAGCTTCGCGTGTATCTATCTATATATGTAATTTTCACCAACTTTTAGACGGCTGAAGGACTTGAAAATTTGTACTCGTATTAAGGACATAAGGACCTTTATCCTAGTATCCTAATCCATATCAATCACCAGGATAAAATAAAATAATCATCAGGATCATCACAGCTCATGACCAATGCATGTACTTTAAGTTTTTTTTTTTACACCTATATAATTATAGTTACGACCTAATATACACGACAAGAATACCATTTAATTTAAATGAGCCTCTTGGTTTCTAAAGGGCAATTCATCAGATGTTTAGCATGTTAATGAGATCCGTATGCTTCGTTGTCCTCTATACTTTATGGCAATCCACTCTGAACATTACGGGCACTGGATTACAAAAACAAAAAAATAACAATGCCAACAGTCATAAATTACAATTTACAACTACCTTCAGTTTACACACAAAGGCTCAGTTTGGCACAGGTCCATATGTTAATCGGCAAATCCGCTTTTGGTATCATTTTGGAAACCATGTTATTGCAAACTCGAGTAGAGGCCCAAGTTCCTTGAACCCCGATCGCAGGCATTCGTTTCGCGTTTTGATGAAAAACTTCTACGTTTTGGTTATTTTTATAACCGTACAAGAACTTGTTTTAAATTGTTTAATAGATATGACCGGTTTTGAAATGAACTCGATTAATATTAAGATTCGGTAATTTCTTTGCGGCTCTAAAACATAATATCGCAGATACGGATCCCGTTCATGACTGCTATAATTTATATACAAGCACACATTTTGCTTGTCATGTAACACGAATGGATCAGCTCAACCAGGGAAAGGTCAGACTTTTAGAAAATACCTACTTATATATGAGTAACATTATACTGTTGTGTTTCATAATATGGCAATTGTAGAGAACCGAAGGCACTTTTTAGTAGTGATGGAGCGTTATATCTGAATCCTCAGGGAAGAGAACGTATCTGCATTTAGTTTCTGATTCTAATTCGGAAATAAAACACTCATGTGGACTACATGATCTATCTATAACATGTTTACTAAATTAAGAAACAAAATGCAGAAGCTGTTTGCTGGTTTCTCACCCATACTTATGCAAAAGAAAATCGATCACATGATTTAAGCTGAATTTCCAATAGCATTAGGAGGTTTTTTGAATATCAGTAAATCAATAATTCAATTATATCAAATAATATATAAACTTTTTTTAAAGCGCCCATTTTATTATTGTATCCAAATGTCATTGAAAGGGCTCTTGTCTTTATAAATGTTCCCTCGGTTTTAGAGCCTTGTGGAATATTTAGAGATGATGACAGGAGAGCTATATGTATATATATATATATATATATATATATATATATATATATATATATATATATATATATAGCTTATATACCAAGTAACGGAACGATCTTTCAGTTGGTTTAATATTCGTTTATTACATTAGACGTTTAAAAGTGCCGTGTAAGGGCGACAGAACACGGGTCCTCTGGGTCGAGCGCAGTCTCACCATTCATTTCACGCCTATCATATCAACAAGAAAACTAACTGATGAACTTTAATTTATTCCTTCAACCTATTCGATGCAGCTTACATACATCCAGACCTGGAATTCACAAATACTTGTAGCCCATACAAATACTTATTCCTTGCGGAATTCGAACCTGTGGCCCTCATCGCCGTAACTCATTGCTAAGCCACTGCGCCACGGAGCCCTCAAACGTTGATCCAGATCTTTGACAAGATATCCGACTTTTATCTAAATTTAAATGTAATCTTTCGAATTCGTTATTGTACCTAAATATTTCTCTTAAATACAAACAACTTTTTATAAATTCACTAATTAAATTTCCATAGATAAAATTCTTTTCCAAGCTCTTTCAACTTTCTGTCAAATATCAACCCTAATTTTTGTAAGTTTTAGAGAGATTGTGTGGAAAGCATAAAAAGATTAGTAATGACATTAATTTTTTAATAGCATGAGGGTGACAAAGGGGCACACAGTTCACCGGATGGTAAGTGGATGCTGTGGCCCATTGACAGCTACATCTATCCTCGATTAAGAATCAAAACTCAGATGCGTTGTCACCCGTGAGGACTGAGATGGAATGCCTCTTTTCCAGTAAAAAGGGTCTCCGGTTCTCTATACTCACCATACGAAACACAGCACCATTAAGCTGCTATTTTACGCTCATATTCTGTGAGGGCGTGGTCCTTCCTTGGTCGAAACATAGTATAGCTGCAGTGTGACTTTCACAAATATAAAAAAGTTAGAGATTATATCAGGTTTTATGAAAATATTATGAAAATCCGTTTCGTACGTAATTCAAACAATAATATATCATCTTTTAAACGTCCAATCAACTGAAGATGATTTCATAATCCAATATTTTCAACATTCGGGCGTATTTTGCAGACGGGAAAGTTATAAATAAATTTAAGAGTTCCCCATAAGAGCAAGGCCCGCGGCTTCCCTCCGTCACATGAGAAAATTGAGGCTGTACGCAAATTTGGTTAGCACGTCAAATTGGTAATTTAAAAGCAATTTTCCCGTGCAAAGAACAACCTCTCACGTATTTATCTCCTTGCTTCCGTCCATATTTTAAAAAAAAAGCGGGTCTCGCTGATTCACCACAGGACAGAGGTATTTTTCAAATCATTATTAAATAAATAATGACTTTAAATTGTATCATAATCTATTCTGAATAAAAATATATTATATTATACATTATATAATGGCGGATATTAAGCATATGAACTCCTAGATTATTTTCAGCGTGTTTTTTTTTTCTTCGGTTAAATTTTATTTGTTAATTTTTTTAATATGTTTTAGGTAGGATGGTGAGCATACAGTCCACCTGGTGGTAAGTGGATGCCGTGGCCTATAGACAATTAAGAATCAAAATGCAGATGCGTCATCGCCCTTGAGGACTTAGATGGAATGCCTCATTTCCAGTAATAAGGATATTTCTCATTACCTTAAATACGAAATGCAGCAGCATAATGCTGCTGATTCACTCTATGTACTCTGTGTACTATGTACTTTGTGTTCACATAATAAACTATGTAAATAGTTTTATTAAAAATAGTGATGTAAATTCATTATATAATAGCGATTGTTACTAAAGCTGTTTCGTATGTTAGATTTTTAAATTAATAACTGGTCAGTTTACCATTATTTTCTATTATGTGAAAGAAGCGAGATAGAGGTATGTCACGGTCCTCAACGGCTACCCCTCTGGGTGACAGGCGTGATGATTTATGTATTTGTACACCAATTTTTATACGTGGTGGAGCCATGTTGCAGTTATATTATGGTTGTAGCAGTTCCGGTCGGCTCGACCGGAGTAGGACCAAGCTCTCACAGGATGTGTTTCGTACGGTGTGTGTAGAGAACCGGAGACGCATTTTACTGGACTTACTGCTTTTAAGGGGCATTCCACCTCAATCCTCAGCGGCGACAACGCATTGCATTTTGATTCTTAATCGAGGATAAATGTCTATGGACCACAGCATCCACTTACCACCAGGTTATTCTACAAAAAGTAGCACGTAAGCGAGGCCAAGGTCGAATTAAGAGCACTCCGGCCTGTTAATGTAAGTCAAGTGGGTCTATGTTCATTAGGTGGTCTATGTGTGCTCGCTTGTCACCTTTATTCAATAAAAAAAAATCTTCTCTTTATTTTTTTTATGTTACACCCCACATGTAATCTGAATAATGAATTCTTATATTTAAGCGAATGCTACACATTGAATAAAACTATTTTTACGGATTTCATCTCATGTAATTTATTTATTTTAAATTCCCGACGTTTCGGGTGTTTTACAGCACCCACGGTCACGGGGGACTGAGGTAATTGACATTCCCATTTCAAAGTTAGCCTGGAGTACTTTCAGCTTTTGGTCCGATCGCAAGTAAAATAAAACGCGATAAAATACGTAAAAATTAATTGTGTATTTTTCACGTAAATATAAGAAATCGCTATGGGAAATTATCCTTAAAAGAGAGAGACCCATTTGCAATGGACTTTTATAGGCTGCAGATTTAGATGTTGTTTTTTTATTTAACGCAGGCCATCCTACTGGGCGCAGAGGACGAAGCTGGAGAAGCGGCTGATGCTGGCTGTTGGGGTGGCCGCGGTTTTGGCCATCGCCTTCCTCGCGGCTTTCCTGGCCACAGTTCTTTTGAAGGCCACAGTAAATATTACAGGTAAGTCACGCAAGGGGGTGAAAAGATAAGTTATATTAGTCATTAACCAACATGATTTATGACTCCATTAGTTACACTATATGTCAGACTATAGTGCTGTGAAAATTCAAACTTAGTTCAGTTACAGCTTTTATACGTCCGACTGCTGGCAGGCCCCTCCTCCCATTTCTGAGAAATTGCTCCGCTGCCCTCCTCTACAGCCTCATAAGAGGGATTTTGCCATAATCTTGCCATAGCCTTGGCCTTGGCAGATGGATTGGCAACCGCAGACTTTTTCTTATTTTGAGTTGCTTAAAGGAAGATGCTACTTCCCATCTCCCGTTCCAGTCTCTCTCTGACGCCTCTTACTACACCCACGGAACCCATGTTCCGTTTGTTCCGTTGGTCCATACCACTACACTATAACGCGTGTTCGTGGACTTCGTTACTGTGGTTAAAATACGAGTAGCATCATAACGCGACTATGTATCGACTGCTTTCTTACGACGTTTTATTAATTTACTAAAATAGCAGCATAACGCCACTATGCTATCGACTGCTTTTTTTTGTTTTACTAATTTACTTACTTTATAATTTTACCGCTTTTCATCCAAACTTTAAAAACGTCTTAAAATTTATTCTAATGTCAGTATTTATTTTTTATTTTAACCTATTATCCTCAACACACTCAAAATATACAGTATTGCAATTGCTTGATAGGACTAGCCGTTTCAATCGGCCGCCGACCGTCCGCGGAATACGCAATTAGAGAAAATTTCGGCATGATACATGCTTTGTATCGTGCTTAGAAAATGAGGCCACGGTTTTATATCTCACGTCCTACACATTAATTATGCATAAGTGGTTTTATCAAAGCATAAATATATTTGTTAGAATATTTCATATCCTTGTTTTTTTTGAAATTCTTGTTTTTGCACTTCAACACTCTTTTTTCTCGTGAGGAAGTCCTCGTGGATACCCCGGTTATTGCCGTATATGGTAATGCCGGACTCCTACCGGTTAAAATGGTGGTCACCATCAGCGTATATGAGGAGTCCGGGATCTCCGTTCGTGATGTAACCTGGGCCTCTTTCTCGCATTGCTCTATTTAAACACGCCCTGGGAACAGTATTAACCACCCCCAGCACCCTTGCAGTGATACGATGTTTATAAACCGCTTCCGAGTCACCCACTTTAACACCCAGCGCGAATAGGAATTTCCATGTTATTCAAAGCACTCGAAAAAATTAAATTTTATCGTTCATCATCATTACAGCCATCACAAGTCCACTGCTGAACATAAGCCTTACCCAAGGAAGACCACAAAGCAGGGTTGTGATCCACCTGCATCTATAGACTTCCTGCACATCTTATCAGGTCGTCACTCCAACTAGTGTGAGGATTTAGATTACAAAATAAGTTAAAACTAAACTCCGTAAAACTAAAATACATAATAGTATTCGCGTAAAGAATCGTTCCACCTTTAAAATCGCATTAGTGAAAAATCACTTTTTTTACTAAACTGATGGTAAGTGGCCACTGTAGGCCATGAACACTTGCAACCCACTTTCAGTAACGAATGTGTCGCCTCTGAGGATTAAGATGAAATACATCACAGTCTGTAATTCTTCTCGCTCTTTCTTCAGACAGGAACAGAACAGTGAAAGCACTGCTATTTGACGGCAGAAAGTAAGAGGGTAATATATCTAACCAAAGGACTTCTGAACAGAAAAATACCCTAACCTGTATATTTTTTTTAATATAGAACACTTTTTTTTCATATTCTTACATTGTCCGATTATGCGCTATGTTCAAAATTTCAAGTCTCTAGCAGATCAGGAAGTTAGTTTAAAATCGATTACTGGATTCGACCGAACAGACACACGAAAGAGAGTTAATAAAAAACGTGGCAATAAAACTAAACAGCCTATACTAATTAATGGAGGGTAATATAGCGCGAAATGACGAAGCTATGCTCCAGTGCACACTGACGGACACTTCGTGTATCTTTCACATCATTCTATTATTTATATCGAAGTATATTTATATTTATTTTCTTAGAAACAAGTTCCCTTTTTAACGCCAAGCGCGAGTTAAATGGCGTGAAAAATTGTTCTGTTAAACCACAAATTTACTATATTAAGTACTAGGTACGTGACATTAAAGTCGAAAATTAATTAACGTGTTTATTTATTTTTTTTATTTTTGTAACATTGTCTACGTAGCCTTCAACCATTCGATTTTCTGCCAAACACCGGCCTGTCCCATAGATTTCATCATAAGGGAGATATTTGCCACACATGCCACACTTGGCAGGTGGATTTGCAGCTAGATTTTTTTATTTACAAATTATTATTAGAAAGACTCTCCTTGTTTGTTCTCCCCTGTCGCCTCTTACGACACCCACGGAACGATATGGGTTAGTGGATATTCTCACACCGTCACTACACGGCAACTCACTCACTTTCTTCTCCTTTCATCATCCACTGCTGAATACAGGCCTCCCTCAAGGAGTGGCAGAAAGCACGGTCCTGAACCACCTGCATCCATCGACTTCCTGCATGTCTTACCAGGTCGTCACTCCATCGAGTGCATTTTTTCCCCATCGGTTGTCGGTTCTTCGAGCTATATGGCCGGCCCATTGCCACTTCAGCCTACTAATCCGTTGGAGTATGTCGGTTACTCCGGTTCTATTGCGGATATGCTCATTTCTAAGTTTATCACGCACTCAAATCACAATTTATAAAAAATGCTCTCCAATATACGTCTCACTGTTGTGGACAGGGCGCCTCTCAGTTCTGAGAAGATCATAATGTCCATAGCCCTGCTTCAGTCCATATTTGCGTACTCCACATGTCTTCGAAATATTCATCAAACAGCACGTTTCGAAAAGAGATGTAGATGTCTTTGGGCCACAGCATCCACTAACCATCAGGTGGACTGTGTGCTTTTTTGTCACCCTTATTCTATAAAAAAAAAAACGTAGTGAATCAGTGCTTAAAATTGCAATTAACAATTTCATTGCTACCAGCGGGGATAAAATCCGGATGGTTCGCTTACTCTGTAATTTGTGGTAAGCGGTTAGACCCTGAGCTACCACGGTTTTTTAAGAAAGTATTGCCATACCTGGTCGTATTTTAAAACTGAGCAGGTATCACTGAAGTCATTGTCGAAATAACAATTTAAGAAAAAGGTCAAAATAACGAATTGATGCCCTCTACAATTCTGGACATCCAAGCGTGAATAGCAATACAGAATGGAGTGTACCGTAACTTGGGGAAATTACATAAAAACAAAGACTTTACTGGTGGAAAAATCTCATTTCTACTTTAAATGATTAATATCCGGTATATTAATGCCTTTACACAAGGGAGGGGCGTGGACAAAGGTACACTAAAGCTGTGTACAGACGAATTGTTTATTTCTTTTCTTATTTTTGAATAAAACTATGATACTTGAATTTTCTCCTGTATCGTGGAGGCAGTTTACATACATAAATGACACAAAAACAAACATCCAGACTTGGAACAATTACTTGTAGGCCATACAAATACTTGTTCTGTGCGGGATTGGAACCCGCGGTCGTCAGCGCCCTTAGCTTAATATTTTCGACGTTATATATTTTTTTTCTTTTTCATATGTATATTATGATATTGAAATTAAATCTAATTTACCCTAACAAGTCACGTTCAGGCAAGGTTAGTCAAGCACAGCGGTAAAATAAATTAAGCATTTAGTTTTCATGGCCGTTTCTCTTTGGCCTACTGGCATTGTCTAAAGTGTTCATCAGTGCGAAATATTTAATGACCCTACGGTGTAATAACAACCCGAGTCGGGCCGCGGCGCGGGTTCAAATCTCGCACGAAGCAAGTGCTTGTACCGTCAACAACTAATTGTTCCAGGTCTGGATGTTTGTCCTTGTGATATTTATGTATGTAAACTGCCCCAAACAGCAGCCAAAAATAGAAAATCCTAGAGTGGAGGTAACATATTAAAAAAAAACCGTGTGAAAGTTAAAAATAATAAAAAAGCTTATTTAACGTTATTATTTTAAGTTAAAAAAACCCCTATTAATAAATTCATTTTTAATTTTAATCTTATAAATAAAGAAAACATAATCGAACATTTAACACATTTTAGGGGTAGGACCACGCTCTCACAGGATACCAGCTTAAAAAAGCAGCTTAATGCTGCCGTTTCGTATGGTGAGTATAGATAACCGGAGACCCCATTTACTGGAAGAGAGTTATTCAATCTCAGTCCTCACGGGTGACAACACATCTGTATTTTCATTCTTACTCCAAGAGAAATGGGCCAATTAAGGGCCACAGCGTCCACTTACCGTCAGGTGGGCTGTGTGCTAGTTTGTCACCCTCCTTTTAAAAACAAAACAACATTTTAAGCGCTTGCGTTTACGACGTACGTTGATTGTTGCAAACTTCTCCCCGTTTTAGTACATTTAGCCACGACAATTGCAGAGAATGAGGTAACGTTTTCATACCTACACACCGCACTGCGAGGCGGCCTTAATCGGTTTTTATCAAAACCAGCCTTGCACAAAAATCTATGTCGTATAAACTTCAGGCCAAATCAATGTGGGCATCCACGACTAACAGATATCATATCGAGGATGTAAATTTTTTAGTGTATCCTATTTACCCCCGTTGTCCGTCTTTTTTTTAATAGGATAGTGTGAAAAACGGGCACACAGTCCACATGATGGTAAGTGGTTGCTGTAGTTCATAGACATCTACATTTATCCTCGTTTGCGAATAAAATGCAGATGCGTTGTCACCCCTGAGGACTAAGATGGAATACCTCATTTCCAATAAAAAGAGTCTCCGGTTCTCTACACTCACCATACGAAGCAAAGTAGTGTTAAGCTGCTATTTTACGCTGGTATTCATCCGTCCGTATTCGTCTGTCCGGCCGTACCTATGTCTGTCAGCGTGCTATATCTCATGATCCGTAATAGGTAGACAGTTGAAATTTTCACAGAATGTGTATATCTGTTGCCGCAT